TTCTGAGTCAAGATTTGGCATGGAATGAGGCAGCCCTCATGGACATGTTCCAAGATGGCCTGTTGGATGACCTGCAGGACGAGCTGATGCGGGTGGACAGGCCACCGACATTCAACACGTTGATCCTCCTGTGCCTCTGGATGGACATCCAGCTGCAAAGGCGGAGGTCCCGCTGCACGTCCCAGGAGACCAGTGGAGTGCCGATCCCTCAGGAGACCCTAGCTCCATGGGAAGAACCTATGGAATTGGGTGCTTCCAAACCATGCTTGTTGCAATATGAGATGGACAGACAGCATGCTGGGGGGTTGTGTTTCTACTGTGGGGATCCTGGACACCTGGCCATGGTTTGTCCCCAAAAGAGAAGGGGGGCTGTGCGGTCTGTGGCCTCCCCTCAGCGACGGAACAACGTGTTGGGAAACTGGCGGGGTCCGATCTGAGGGAGACCTTAGGTTGGGCGCACGCTGAAACAGAGGTGGACGGGCCTCCACGGCACATGATCTTAGCAGCATACATCCTCTTGTCGGGTAGTCCACAGGGAATTCCGGCCCATGCTTTGGTCGATTCCAGGGCTACCACGAACTTTATGGATGCAGCATTTGCTACAAAGTATGACATCCCTCTGTGTCCAGTGGACCCACCGATGTAGGTCGAGACCATTGAGGGCCGAGTGCTTCTGTCTGGGCCTATCAAGGCCACCATTGCACCTAGTCCTCGGGGAGCACGAAGAGGCCATCCAATTTTACATTGCTTCAGACTTGCATTTCCCTGTGGTCCTCAGCTTGGCTTGGCTGCGGGCATATAACCCTCAGATTTATTGGTCACAGAACCTGATCACATTCCCGTTGCTGCAATGTGTCCACCACACCCATCACATCTGTGCAGGCCAGGTGCTCAGCTCACCCAAGGTGGCTGTGCCACCAGACATAGCGGAGTTTGTGGATGTCTTCAGAGAGCAGGAGCAGACCAAATGCCACCGCACCAGCCTTATGACTGCCCCATTGACTTGGTACCAGATGCGAAGCTCCCTGCGGGTCGCCTGTACTCCATGTCCGAGCCAGAGTTGGCCGCATTGAGGGACTTTCTGAACAAGAACCTCACCTGGGGTTTTATCCGGCCCTCATCATCGCCACTGTCTTCCCCAGTCTTGTTCATCAAAAAGAAGATCGGGGATCTGAGACTCTATTGCGATTATCATCGCCTGAATGCCATCACGGTGCACAACTGTTACCCGCTGCCCCTGATTCCCGAGTTATTGGAGCGGCTCCTGGAGGTGACGGTGTTCACGAAAATGGACTTGCGTGGCGCTTATAAACTGGTCCGAATCTGGGCAGGGGACGAATGGAAGACGGCCTTCGGCACCCGGTACGGACATGTCAAATACATGGTTATGCCGTTCGGTTTGACCAATGCTCCGGCAGTCTTCCAGCACTTCATGAATGATATCTTCCAGGACCTCTTGGATCAGTTTGTCATCATTTACCTGGATGACATCTTGATCTACTTGACATCTCAGAAAAATCATCTGCAACACCTGCGCCTGGTCCTGCAATGACTCTGGGAGCATTGTTTATTTGCAAAGCTAGAGAAGTGTCAGTTTTGGCAGACTACCATCAAGTTCCTGGGGCACCGTATCTCCCCTGAAGAAATTGCGATGGAGCTGGGCAAGGTGGAGGCATTGTGTAGTTGGCAACCTCCTCGGCGGGTGAAGGATGTCCAGCAACTCCTCAGGTTTGCCAACTACTACCAGACCTTCATCTCCAGCTTTGCTTTCCTGACTGCGCCTCTCACTTGGCTCCTGCAGAAGAAGGTACCGTTCTGCTGGAGGCCCATGGAGCAATATGCATTCGAGGCCCTGAAGCACGTCTTCACAAAGGAGTCGATCCTGAAGCACCCTGATCCCCGTCATCCATTTGTGGTGGAGTTTTATAGTCCTGCCAATAAAGTGTTATGGCATTCCAGCTAAGCTTGTCTCAGCATTCGTTACTGGACAGGGGTGGGGGGGGAGGTCAGAACATATATATATAATTTTTGTAGATTTTCATGGAGCCAGCAGCAGACACTAAACCTCCTTTGGGACCGGAACTGGATGGGTGGAACTGCCATCAGGGCAATGGAAGATTGGACCATGTGATGGACTTGTGGGTGTTGGGGCAAGATCTTGAACTTTCAACTGGGTGGGGAAAACTGAGAAGCTTTCAGATTTGAGTTTCCTAGATGTGCCAACATGGCTCTCTTAATAAATTGGAACTTTGAGCAATACTTTCCCTTGGATTCTGATTTACATTTGGATGCTTTTTGGACATTAACCCAAATCTTTCTGGCTTGGAAAGTGGTGGATAAGTGGAACTTTGGTCCCAGGCTGTGGCCCACTACCAAGCCGCTCTAATGGTGGGTGCCCACATGTGAAGCTCCACATGTCCACCACGATAGAGAGAGAGAGAGAAAGAGAGAGAGAAAGAAATAGAGAGAGAGAAATATAGAGAGAGAAAGAGATAGATGGATAGATGGATAGATGGATAGATGGATAGATGGATAGATAGATAGATAGATGGATAGAGATATGGATATGGATATGGATATGGATATGGATATGGATATGGTGGATATGGATATTGATATGGATATGGATATGGATATGGATATGGATATGGATATGGATATGGATATGGATATGGATA